TACATGGGGGGATGCGGAGGGGGGATGGGATGAGCCGCCCGCAGCATTGTAGTGTCGAGTTGAAATGATGCCAAGTGCACAGAATTCATAACCGCCCAGGCATCGGTGACTCAGCCTCCGTGACCGACATGCCGTCTGTATTTATAATAATAATAGCGAGCACGTTTGGTACAGCGCTGTGTATGTGTATATATGTTGAACGTCTTTCGCACCGTACGTAGCCAACCGTGCTACCGCAGTTCTAAAGAAATCGGTCACCATCGCAAGGCTATCACGAAGTCTCCACGACGCTTCACAGATGGGTGCAGCGGTAAGCAGCTATGCAGGTTGCCTGCAGTCGAGCACTGTTTGAGACAGCGAGGGTTAGTGGATCGCCGCACTTTCGTACGGCTGCTGATGTAGACGGCAGAGCGACAACTTACACTTTCACATTCAGGTGGTCAGGGCCAGGACAACCGTGTCGGGGGGCAGTGGAGTGGTGTATCCATCGCTGTGACGTCTCCTTCGTATTTGTGGATGGGGGCATTGATCGCGTTACACGCTGCACGGTCTGTTCTGGACGAGCACAGTCGAACCGCTCCTACTGGAGAGTTTCACGTTTTCCGCACGTATCTTGTGAAACTTCCTCCCCTGTCGGCGTGCGGAGGTGCCATAACCCTGGGCTCGCCAGGGGAAGGCAGTACAGCAAGTGTGGACTAATCGCCATCTGTTCATTCCATCTGTACGGGGGATAGAGCATTGCCCCCTCGCGGAAGGGCGTGGGGGTTATCTCCGGGTGCTCCGGTTCCCTCCTCCGCCCCGTGAATAATAAACACAGGTAGTCGTCGTTTATTGGATGAAAACTTGCAATCATCAAAAACGCGAATGTATTTGACTCCGGTGACTCAGCTTGGCTCTGCTGGATCAATCAGTTATTATTATTATTATACTTTTTTAATTATAGTCTGGCAGTCGAGGTGCATGCCGTCATCCGTCCAGGTGGCTCAGCAGGTAGAGCGAGCGGTCATCGCAAAGGTCAAGAGTTCAAGTTCTCATTGTGGTTACGGTCGTGGGCGGTTGGTTGACTTTAGCCCATCATCATCCCTCCCTCCGGGTTGGATAAAATAGGTATCACTTTGTATGTATGCATGTATGTTGAACTTCTTTCGCACCATACGTAGCCAACTGTGCTAGTCGTACGTACGGGCGGGGTGGGGGAAGGACGGGAAAAAAACTAAACTCAAACAAAGTTTGTTTGACGACAAACTTTGACAACAATCTTTGTGGGGAAGCACCAACAGCGGTTGTTCAATGAAGATATTCCCCCCCCCCCCCGTCACAGTAATGTGGAATTTACACCACCGGCTCTACAGCAGGGCTGTAGGTGGCAGAAGAATTGCCGACGGCGCCTCTGCTGGTTTGGGACGAGCTCGCTCTGTGGGGACCGTGCGGCTGCTGTAAGGGTTTCACAGAGTGCTGTGATTTTTTTAATTGCCTACTTTTTTTTAAAATCTGTGTACGTATGTTGAACATCTTTCGCACCGTACGTAGCCAACGAGCGTCCCGGGGTCTTTCATGGCCACTCCGAAGCAGACTGCGTCTGCTAGTGTTATTTCATGGGGAATACACATGGGCGGTATTAACCAGGGCGGCCGATTGTCTCGAACTACGAACATCTGCACACAAAATGGTACTCAATTTACGTGACCCCCTGTTGATGATGGTGGTGGTTGTGGGTTCAGTTTCACTGCCTCGCCGGAGATTCCAGCTCGGAATCAGCACTCACTGAGTCACTCGTCACCCTGGCTAATTCACCAGCGGTCAGTCGCCTCCCTATCACTCTTCTATCGCTATTAGCGCAGTCGCTGTTCCTGTGGAAGTCACTCGTCGATTCCTCCACCCGTGTTAAGGACTCGGTCTGTCAGACGCCGACTGTTTCATCTCATCCACCATCATTACCACGCTGTGTTCAACCACTACCACCACGACCACCACGCTGTGTTCAACCACCCCAACACTGTTTAACCACCATCACACTGCAGGTCACAACAAGACACTCAAGTACGCACTCACTTATGCACTCACCCACTCACTCACCCACCCATCCACTCATCCACCCACCCACCCACTCACCCACCCACCCTCCTACCCACTCACCCACCCACCCACCGACCCACTCACCCACCCACCCACCGACCCACTCACCCACCGACCCGCCGACCCACCCACCCACCGACCCACTCATCCACCGACCCACTCACCCACCCACCCACCGACCCACTCACCCACCCACCCACTCACCCACCCACCCACCGACCCACTCACCCACCCACCGACCCACTCACCCACCCACCGACCCGCCGACCCACCCACCCACCGACCCACTCACCCACCGACCCACTCACCCACCCACCCACCGACCCACCCACCCACCGACCCACTCACCCACTCACCCACCCACCCACCGACCCACTCACCCACCCACCCACCCACCGACCCACTCACCCACCCACCCACTCACCCACTCACCCACCCACCCACTCACCCACCCACCCACCGACCCACCCACCCACCCACCGACCCACTCACCCACCGACCCACTCACCCACCGACCCACCCACCCACCGACCCACTCACCCACCCACTCACCCACTCACCACACTGCAGTTAACCTCACCTCTCTCTCCTGCTCCACTGTGCCCCCCCCTCTTCCCATCGTTACCATCTCTTGTCCCCAAGTTCTTACTCCAACAACAGCAATAATAACCTCACTCCAGTCAAGAAACGCGCTACACTATTTCACGGTGCTGTTTGTTGCTGTCCGCTTGGCGTTTTAGGGCCATTAGGGGGTCTATGCTCAGGCATCCGTGATTTATATAGTATCTTTTTTTTTTGTTCAATTTAAACCAAAACCTCACCGTAGTGGGATGGGCGACGGGCCAACTTGAACCATCTGGCCGGATTTGTTTGGATTTTTTTTCAGTTCCGTTCCTCTTTCTCCACCCTCCTCCCTCGCCACGACTTTTCCATTTCCACTGAATTATCCCCCCCCCCCCCTTCTCTTCCTCTCTCTCGATAATTTTCATTCGGGTTTTTTTTCGGGGTTCCCGCCCTTGGCGTTCGATTGATCGCCTTTGGCCTGGGAGCCGCTCACCCTCTGCGTTTACCCAACCGCTCAGGAATGCGGCCGGCCAGAGATTCCCCCCCAATCCACCCCGCCCCTGCCGCTCTCTGCGCTGCGTTGCTGCTGCTGCTGCTGCGGAAATTACGCAGCCCCCCCTTCCCCCCGCCCCCCCCTTCCCCACGGCCCCCCCTTCCCCACGGCTCCCCTTCCCCACGGCCCCCCCTTCCCCCCGGCCCCCCCTTCCCCCGGCCCCCCTTCCCCACGGCCCCCCGGCCCCCCCGGCCCCCCCTTCCAGCCCTTTGCCCCGGGAACCCCGCCCCCCCCTATCCCCCTTCCCCCCGGCCCCCCCCTTCCCCCCGGCCCCCCGGCCCCCCCCCCCCGCCCCTGCCGCTGTCTGCGCTGCGTTGCTGCTGCTGCTGAAACACCGCACCCCCAGCCCCCCCACCCCCGCAGCACAGCGCAAGCCCCAACAGCGAGAACGCCGCTTCACAATCCCCCCACAGCAGCCCGCCGAGCTCTCCGCCGAGCTCGCCGCTGAGCTCGCCGCCGAGCTCACCGCCGAGCTCGCTGCCGAGCTCACCGAGCTCACCGCCGAGCTCGCCGAGCTCACCGCCGAGCTCGCCGCCGAGCTCACCGAGCTCACCGAGCTCACCGAGCTCGCCGCCGAGCTCGCCGCCGAGCTCGCCGCCGAGCTCACCGCCGAGCTCACCGCGTCAGCGCAAATCACCGCGCCCGGCGCCGCCACCGCCTCTGCCCTTTGATGTAGCGCGCCGGTAAAGGCGCAGCCCTGCAATTTCTTTGCTCGTAGCCTCCTTTTTCTTGTTGTTTTGTTGTTCCTTTACGAAGCAGGTAGAGCCCCCCACTGAGCTTGTTGGCTCTTGTTCACAGGCAAGCTGGCCACGCATCCGCCGCGGTGACGGGATGTTAACTACCTCTCGTGGTATACAGGGAGGATCGCGAGTTCGATCGCAACTCTTGCGCCTGCTGCATATTTGGAGCGTGGACGTTCGCTCTCTTTCTTTCCCAGTGGTCGCGTTGATTTTGCTCTGGGTCCTCGGTTTTCCCCTCCATACTAAGAATCAACATCACGCGTTTAGAGTATTCGGCTGCTATAAATGTCCACGTGATAAGCCATAATTGGTTTTTGGGCCAGGTTGCTTCTGCTAAAGAGCTACATAGCTCAGTGGGGCCTTACCTGGTTAGAGAAACGTAATTGCATGTTATATTTCACAATTATGTAGGTGATGATAGCGCATTGAGGTTGCTTCTGTCATTATCATCATCATCATCACACGTGGGAGTTTATAGCAGCAGCCGAATAAATCTAAGCGCGTGTTGATTCACAAAACCAGGGGAAGCCGGAAAAACGATCCACGCGACAGATAACAGCGAGAGATGAAAGAGAACACACGGACTCCAATGTGCAACAGCAGGCAGCGTCCGTGAGTTTGCGCGTCCATCGAGGAGATGGAGCGATGAGATCTCAGCCCGGTTTTGAAGGTGCCGGTCTTGGATCGCTGCTGCATCGCAGGGTCGCGAGAGGTGGTGGCGGAGGCTTGGTGGTGGTGGGGGGGGGGCGTGTGGGGAGGCCTTCGTCCAGCAGTGGATCTATCAAGGCCAACGATTACAAAGATGATGATGATGACGACATTGTTGTCCGGATATTTCAACGAGACATCTGGGCGATGAAACGTGGGATCCAAGAAGAGGGGGGGGGGGGGGGGAGGAGGGAGCATTTTTTGCCCCACAGAACTACAGAGACACCTCAAGTAACTCTTGTGTGTCCATGCCTTGTGCTCACCCCCTCGTGTGTCCCCCCCCGCCGCCCCGTATCTCCACCCCCTTGTGTGTCCACCCCGCGTGCGCGTGTGTCCCCCCCCCCCCGCACCACCTCCAGGACGGCTCCTTGGGCAACATAGACGACCTGGCGCAGCAGTACGCGGAGTATTTCAACACCAACTTCGACGACGTCTTCGACCGGATGGAGGAGCTCCAGAAGAGGCAGTCGGTGCTGGAGTTGGCGGTGAGTGCCGGCCTCTCCGACGTGGCCATCTTGCGCAGCCCGCCGTGGTTCAGTTTTAACGGAGGACGGTTTGAGAGCGTTGGCGAGGAGGCGGTGGCGGTGGTGGTGGTGGTGGTGGTGCCGTTGCGGTGCCGTGGTGGTGGTGTTATTTTTGTTCAACTGGGAACGACGGCCATATCAGACAGTAAATCTTATTGGCATAACCGTTGGTTCGCTGCAGCTCAAAGACTCACTCCTACAAGGCGTGCGGTGAAGTGAGGAGATGTCCGTGTGTGCTCGGCAACATGAAGGGCTGAAGGCCGGAATCGGTGATCTCGCCGACAGTGTGCTACGGACCACCGGCGAGCCGAGTTCGATTCCCGCTCACGGCCAACAACACCGGTGATGAATATCTGAATCGGTCCTGGGCCTCCGCAAGGTCGACTAGGTCTCAATTGAGTACCTGGTGCACTGTGTGGACATTGCCACTAGGGAGACAAAGGCGGTCGGGTGTGGTGTTGGCCACCCACTGTCTCGTGTGCCGTGCCGGCCTTCATAGGTGCTCGCTAACAGCACTTGCACTCTGTTAAGGCTATACCGGGGATCTTTGTATTCGGTGTTAGTAGGCAGTCACCCTCCAGCAACAACAGTGGGGTGTGGACGAGGAGCGACACTCACAATAACGAGCGGAGCGGCGGGCGGCTAAATTGCAGCAAGTTGGCACAGCAGGGGGCATAGCTGGTGCATCTACCAGTCATCTGAGTCAGTCAACCCATGGCACCTGGGTCTGTCCCGTGACATCCTGCCCAGCGAGCCTTCGAGACTTCACGTGGCCTCGGAGTGCACCGAGCCTGGCACAAGCACCGTGGTGACGTCACCGCCACAGTGGCGAATGGCGGCTGTTGTTGCCGTTGGTGGTGGTGGTGTTCATAAAATCTTGAAGAAAAAAAAATAGTAATAATAACAACAACACCCTCTCGGCAATCTGCATGCGATGAACTCTACCTGGTGGCACCCGACCGCATCGCTGCTCAGAAGCTAAGCAGACTTGAGCCTGATTAGTTGTGAGTACTCAGAAAGGTGACCACCCCCACCAACACCAGGGCTTGCCAGGTGTTGTAGGACTGAGGGCAGTGAGGTGTGACCAGGAGACAGCAGCGCCGGGTGTCACGAACGTCGGTGTATCTCGCGCTTTTGGGGAAACTTCAGTAATAGTGGACAGTTGTCTCACGGAGAAACTGGCCCCTATCTTGGGAATGTGGAATTTACCCCACTGAATTGGGCTTGCGAACGGAGATACGTCTTGCCTCATGCTCCCCCGAGCGGAGATAAACTTTGGCCTTTGCTATCGTGGCGGTGAACGAGAGGTCAGGGGTTTTGATCGTAGATGAGCAGAGGTCAGGGGTTGACACTTCTTGTTGCACAACGCGCACGCACAGACTGTTGGGGCAAGTGCTGTTATCTTCCGCCTATTAAGGCCGGCACGGCCTCCTTTGTCTCCCCAGTACTGATATTTACACACAGCACCAGGTGCCCATTCAAGTCTGAGACGACCTAGGGGGGGGGAGGCCCCAGACAGGTTTGCTTCTGATGTTAACTGTGGCCGGGAATTGATTTCGGGTCGCCAGGTGAGTTTTGCAGTGTGCTCACCACTGCACCACCGATCCCCTTGCACAAAGACAAAGATCACCCTATAGCTCTACATACTTTGAGGGAAAGTGCTGTTCGCGAGCACCCGTCATATAGACACACACACACACACTAGATGGTAATGTAAACAGAATTTTGGGCAAAATATTTGACGAAAATAATCTCCACTCGGGGGCACAGCTCTGAAATGGCGTTTATGACACAGCAAACGGTAACATTCACCGCATTTTATCAATATTATTCGTGACTTGGCTCTCGGTTGAGCTGACCCAGTCAAGGTCCTGGCCGCGCGAAGGTCCAGATGGTCCGGTCCGTGTTTTGCTTTTTGTTTTTCCAGGGGCGTCGTTGTTGTTGTTACATAATGGGACCTTTTTTTGCCAGTTTAAAAATATGAAAAAACAAGGCTAGGTTTTTACCCTTTCTGGCAATCAAACAGGAGGTGTTAAGATGTTCAAACACCAAAGATGAACTTTTTGCAAGGAATCAAGTTCACATTAACCACACGAACTCGTGGAAAACATGCAAACAAACACCCTCTGATAATATACGCATTCTTTTTTCATACGTTGTTATTGTTCTCTGTGTAATCATTCACCCGTGGACACTTTCGTGGAACTTGTTATCGCAAATCTGCCGCGATCCTGACCTCTGCGTGACCATGCAACGCAAACTATGGCCCAAATAGTAAACCCCTAAAAAGACACACACAGAGAGACACATATACACCCATAGAGAATCATACAGATACATAAAGACTCGTAGATACACAGAGATACAGATGTAGCGTTTATAAAGACGAGTAAACTTCTTAGGAGGCACACTGTTTATTGTTATTCTTTCCTCATACAATCCTTAACACACACAGAGGGGTATCCGGTCCCCTCACCCGATACTCTAAGGAGGTACAGCCTCCGGACTCAGCGTAACCTACACACAGGTTATCCTTGATACCTAAGGAGGTACAGCCTCCTAGCTTGGCGAGACTCGCACGTCTACCGCTATTCTAGAGTCCTTCGGCTGGGACCTAGGGGAGGCTATCTGACCCACCGCTGGCCCGGTGGGCCCTGACCACTGGGTATGCCGAGCTGTAGCCCTCAGAAGGGATGGAAGGCTGGTCCAGGGTCCTAGCTAGTCTTCAGCCCGGACTTCAGTCTTCGTGTAGGGAGAGAACTCCCCGAGCTCTGTTGGGTCACCCTTCTTATACCCGCTCGTGGCCAGGTAGAACCAATCCCACATTCCCACGTGGAACAGTCTGATTGGTTCTTACCAAACCGTGGCTACGATCCACTTAACCTCGTCTGACCCCAACCGTTGTACCCAGAGGTAACGCTGCACTGCTCATTTGATACCTGGTGGCAATGCAGGTTATCGAACAGTGCGTAGTTAACACCTCTACACAGAGATACATAGAGATACGTAGACCTCTAGCTATACATAGGGATACATGGAGACCCACAGATACATACAGACGAATAGAGATACATTGAGATGCACGGAGAGACAGAGAGACATTGAGATGGATGACACTCACGTTATCGAGTTTTGAGTTCATTTGATGCCGTGTGTAGCCAGAGCTACCCAGCTACAGTGAGGGAAAAAAAGTATTTTATCCCCTGCTGATTTTGTACGTTTGCCTACTGACAAAGACATGATCAGTCTATAATTTTAATGGTAGGTTTATTTGAACAGTGAGAGACAGAATAACAACAAAAAATACAGAAAAACGCATGTCAAAAATGTTATAAATTGATTTGCATTTAATGAGGGAAATAAGTATTTGACCCCTCTGCAAAACATGACTTAGTACTTGTTGGCAAAACCCTTGTTGGCAATCACAGAGGTCAGACGTTTCTTGTAGTTGGCCACCAGGTTTGCACACGTTTCAGGAGGGATTTTGTCCCACTCCTCTTTGTAGATCTTCTCCAAGTCATTAAGGTTTCGAGGCTGACGTTTGGCAAATCGAACCTTCAGCTCCCCCCACAGATTTTTTTAATGAGATTAAGGTCTGGAGACTGGCTAGGCTACTCCAGGACCTTAATGTGCTTCTTCTTGAGCCACTCCTTTGTTGCCTTGGCCGTGTGTTTTGGGTCATTGTCATGCTGGAATACCCATCCACGACCCATTTTCATTGTCCTGGCTGAGGGAAGGAGGTTCTCACCCAAAATTTGACGGTACATGGCCCCGTCCATCGTCCCTTTGATGCGGTGAAGTTGTCCTGTCCTCTTAGCAGAAAAACACCCCCAAAGCATAATGTTTCCACCTCCATGTTTGACGGTGGGGATGGTGTTCTTGGGGTCATAGGCAGCATTCCTCCTCCTCCAAACACGGCGAGTTGAGTTGATGCCAAAGAGCTCCATTTTGGTCTCATCTGACCACAACACTTTCACCCAGTTGTCCTCTGAATCATTCAGATTCATTGGCAAACTTCAGACGGGCATGTATATGTGCTTTCTTGAGCAGGGGGACCTTGCGGGTGCTGCAGGATTTCAGTCCTTCACGGCGTAGTGTGTTACCAATTGTTTTCTTGGTGACTATGGTCCCAGCTGCCTTGAGATCATTGACAAGATCCTCCCGTGTAGTTCTGGACTGATTCCTCACCGTTCTCATGATCATTGCAACTCCACGAGGTGAGATCTTGCATGGAGCCCCAGGCCGAGGGAGATTGACAGTTCTTTTGTGTTTCTTCCATTTGCGAATAATCATACCAACTGTTGTCACCTTCTCACCAAGCTGCTTGGCAATGGTCTTGTAGCCCATTCCAGCCTTGTATAGGTCTACAATCTTGTCCCTGACATCCTTGGAGAGCTCTTTGGTCTTGGCCATGGTGGAGAGTTTGGAATCTGATTGATTGATTGCTTCTGTGGACAGGTGTCTTTTATACAGGTAACGAGCTGAGATTAGGAGCACACTCTTAAAGGGAGTGCTCCTAATCTCAGCTCGTTACCTGTATAAAAGACACCTGGGAGCCAGAAATCTTTCTGATTGAGAGGGGGTCAAATACTTATTTCCCTCATTAAAATGCAAATCAATTTATAACATTTTTGACATGCGTTTTTCTGGATTTTGTTTGTGTTATTCTGTCTCTCACTGTTCAAATAAACCTACCATTAAAATTCTAGACTGATCATTTCTTTGTCAGTGGGCAAACGTACAAAATCAGCAGGGGATCAAATACTTTTTTTCCCCTCACTGTATTTCTCACGCGAGATCCGTGGTGCTGCGTGAGCACAGCAGCAGCAGCAGCAGCAACGACTACAAAACAGAGACACAAAACATCGATAACTGCAGTGAACGAGTACACGGGGTTCCCAAGGGGTCGCATTGCGTAAGCTCAGTGCACGAGGTGTTTCGACGGCGTAAACAAAAAGCCA